CACCCTCCTCCCCAGTCAAGTTTGAGATGATAAAGACCTCTTCTGGAAGCACCCTCCTAAGTTACCCACAGATTACTGACTCACGAAAGTGATTAGATAATAAGTTTTTTGTTCAAAGCTACTAAATTTGGATAATTTGTAAAGCAGCAACAGAGAAATAATACTGAGTTTATCAAGTAATTACTTAGAATGCTCTTTATAAAACATAAACCAGATAGAGAACACATCCCTAATTAACATACTTCAAAGGCTTCATGTTGTTCATGGACTAAAATTCACTATGGCCTACAAAACCATTCACGCTCTGGCTTCTGCCTACCTTTTTACCGTCTCTGATTTCCATTCTTTACCTCCTCAACTTCACTAGACTCCTCTTAGATTATTAAAGAATGTACTCTAGTGCTTCCCTGGTGGCGCAGTGGTTGAGAGTCTGCCTGCCGATGCAGGCGTCACAGGTTCGTGCCCCGGTCCGGGAAGATCCCACATGCTGCGGAGCGGCTGGGCCCGTGAGCCATGGCCGCTGAGCCTGCACGTCTGGAGCCTGTGCTCTGCAATGGGAGAGGCCACTACAGTAAGAGGCCCGAGTACCGCAAAAAAAAAAAAAAGAAAAGAATGTACTCTCTTCCTTGACCTTTGTGCTTGCTGTTTTCTCTGCCTAGGAATGTTCTTCCTTGCATTCTTGGGGGTATTCTTTGCATACTCAGCTCCTTTTTGTCACTCAGTAGTCCTCAGCTTAAAAGTTCTCTCCCCAGTGAGGCCTTCCCTGATGACCCGTTCATAAGAAGAAAACCCTGGAAGGTTCCCACTAAAGAGAGGAAAAAGATGAGACCATATTTAAAGCAATATAAACCTGGAGTTAGTATGTTAGACTAAGTGTATTAAATGAAAAAAAGAAATTACTAGTTTAAATTTGGAAAGGAGAATATAAATTTCTCATTACAGATTATGATTGTACATCTGAAATACATAAGAGAAATAAATTGGAAAACAAGAAGCATGTAAACTCTATGGGAACAAAACTTTAGAACACTCCTGAAGGACAAAAGAAGACATCAACAAATGGAAAGGTATAGCACTTAGGATAGGAAGACTAAACATCAAAAATGTAAATTCTCCAAATTCTCTCTGTAATATGATTCCAATAAAAATACCAAAATCGAGGGACCTCCCTGGTGGTCCAGTGTTAAAGAATCTGCCTTACAATGCAGGGGAGTGGGTTCGATCCTTGGTCAGTGAACTAAGATCACACATGGCGCGGGGAAACTAAGCCCACGTGCCCTGGAGCCTGCATGCCACAACTAGAGAGAGAGAACCTGTATGCCACAACTAAGCCTGCATGCTGCGACAAAAGATCCCACGCACCACAACAAAAGAAAGATTCCGCATGCCTCAACCAAGATTCCGTGAGCCGCAACTAAGGCCACACGCAGCCAAAAATAAATAATAAAATAAATCTTAAACAAAAAAATAAAACCCCAAAATCGACAAGGTATTTCTTGCAAATAGACAAGGCAATCATAAACTCATACAGAAAAAAAAACAAGGCAAGAATATTTAGGAAATTTCTGAAGAATCAGCTCTATCAGATATTAAAACATATTTTTAAACCCAAATAATTAGAGTAATTTGATGCTGATACATAACATGATGTGACAGAACAGAAAATCTACTAATATAAACAAATACAAATCAGTAGGGAGAAGAAAGACAATTAAGTGGTGTTAGATAGCTAGGTAGCCAGTTGAAAAAACTCAAGTTGTGACTAACAAGATGAATAAAACAGTTAAGTGCAGAAAAAAATGAAATCATTAAAATATTATGAAAAGAAAACTCGAGATTTATAAGGTAGAAGTGGTAAAGATTTTTCTAATTAAGACACACCGAAGCCATAAAAGCAAAGTTTTCCATTCAAAATTTAACTCAACATTTCATCTCATTGGGGACTCCCCTGGTGGCACAGTGGTTAAGAATCCGCCTGCCAATGCAGAGGACACAGGTTCAAGCCCTGGTCTGGGAAGATCCCACATGCCGCAAAGCAAATAAGCCCATGTGTCACAACTACTGAGCCTGCGAGCCACAACTACTGAGACAGAGGTGCCACAACTACTGAAGCCTGCGCACCTAGAGCCTGTGCTCTGCAACAAGAGAAGCCACCATAGTGAGAAGCCTGCGCACTGCAACAAAGAGTAGTTCCTGCTCACCACAACTAGAGAAAGCCTGCGTGCAGCAACAAAGACCCAACCCAGCCAAAAATTTAAAAAAAAAAAATTTTTAATTTCATTTCATTTAAAAAAATCTGTATGTTAAAAAATATGACAAAAAAAGACTTCCTTGGTGGTCCAGTGGTTAACACTCCACCCTTCCATTGCAAGGGGCGTGGGTTCAATCCCAGGTCTGGGAGCTAAGATTCTGCATGCTGTGCAGCACAGCCAAAGAAACAAGACAAAGAGAAAATATATTTGCAACTTATCACAGTCAGATTTCTAAAGGATCTTCTATAAAAATCAATAGAACCCTAATAACTCAATAGAACAAACGGCCCTTCTGTATTATTTCCTACTTTATTTTTTTTTTTTTTTTTTTTTTTTTTCCCGTTGCGGAGCACAGGCTCCGGACGCGCAGGCTCAGCGGCCATGGCTCACGGGCCCAGCCGCTCCGCGGCATGTGGGATCTTCCCAGACCGGGGCACGAACCCGTGTCCCCTGCATCCGCAGGCGGACTCTCAACCACTGCGCCACCAGGGAAGCCCTATTTCCTACTTTAAAATGTTTTGGATTGACTGTCTTAACTTTCTCAAGAGTGAATTAAATATAAAAATAAAAATAAAGGTCACTACGACTACCGTTTAGATATATCTTCACCAAAACTCTTACATGTGGGGACTGACTTGTGTGGGTGAATGTTTTGTGGAAATTGAGCAAATTGAAGGCAGGTATCTTATCTGGGATTCGATTCTATTTAATGTAACAGAAGACTGTCTAGTAACAGGTTTTAAAGAAGTGAAAAAAAATTCTCTCATGTTACAGAAATCCAGGTTTAAGAAGCCTAAGGTTGGTACAGCGCTTCTATCGGTATCATCAGGGACTCGGGCTCCTATCTTTCTTCTCCCCATCCTAGTACATATCTTCTATTATCAAGTCAATTCATGGTTCCAGTCGGCTGTGGGAGCTCCAGCCATTAAACCCATGTTTTATAAATGTTGAGGGAAAGGAGAGAGACACAAAAGAGTACATTCTATATGACTCTAGTTGTATAGAAATCATGAAAAAGACCTGTATAATGAAGTGGTTATATAGTGGTTATCTTTGCATAGAGTTACCAACTGGGAGGGGCCAAAGGGAGGCTTCTGGGGTGCTAGAAAGATTTATATCACTATCTGGGTAGTGTTATACATATGGAGAATTCCTTGATATGTTCATTTATATTTTGACAAGACTATGCACTCCAAACGGGTTGAAGAAACTGAAAGTACTCTAACGTATTTAGTGTGCAGTGCCCAGCTCTTGTGCTCATCACTGCTGTCACCCTCCAAAGGCTGAAAAGTAACCAAGACAGGGAATTCCCTGGCAGTCCAATGGTTAGGATTCTTCCAAATTGGTTTGATACAATCTGATACAATTCTAATCAAAACCCTACCAGAGAGACTTCCCTGGCGGTCCCGTGGTTAAGACTCCGCTCTCCCACTGCAGGGGGTATGGGTTCAATCCCTGGTTGGGGAACTAAGATCCCGCATGCCACGCAGCACAGCCAAAAATAAATAAATAAATAACCAAGTCATACAGTCTGCTGGAATACATAAGGATGTGGCAATGGTCTTGCTTTAGGAATACCGTGGTTCCAACCCTATCTCCATTTTGCATTTAATGTTTTTTATTCTTCTGAAACGGGCATAAAAACAATGACTTTTCCCTCTTCCAAAATCATGAGTCTCTCTACAGGGATTTATGAGGCAATGTATGTCAGGTTCTTAATATGGTTCCTGATATTTAATGAGAGGTAGTTGTTATTATTTTACTATCATTATTATAGTCATCATCATTATTGACAAATGATAGGACAGCATCTCAAATGATCCTTTGGTCAAGAATTCCAAATAAACTGGTCAATATCCTTGTGGATGTGAACATCCTCCGGATATGATACTGTTTCTCAGTTGAGAACTTCCTAAAGAAGTTAAATCCGGTTCTTCTTATAGCTCCGCAAATTTAGAAAACTCAAAGTAGTCATAAAACAATTTTGGAAATATGTTGTAAAAAGTTTGGTTTTGTTTTCAATATTGTATGATCTTCATTAAGGTGGCCCTATGAGACAATGAATTAGAAAGAATTTCAAAATAACTGATAAAAATAAGATATAGGTGCAACTAGAGATTATCGTACTAAGTGAAGTCAGAAAAAGAAAGACAGATACCATATGATATCACTTATACGTGAAATCTAAAATATGACACAAATGAACCTATCTATGAAACAGAAACAAAATCAGGGGCATAGAGAATAGACTAGTGGTCGCCAAGGGGGAGGGGGCTGGGGGAGGGATGGAATGGGAGGTTGGGGTGAGCAGATGCAAGCTTTTATATCTAGAATGGATAAACAACAAGGTCCTACTGTCTAGCACAGAGAACTATATTCAATATCCTACAATAAATCATAATGAAAAATAATATGAAAAAGAATGTACAAAAAAAGATATAGGAAACAGTATATATAATTTAGTACCATTTATTTATGCTGTCTAATTATAAATGCACTGAATGCTGTCTAAAAGTAATAAAAAACCCTAAGACTAATGACCCTATATCACAAGATACCAACTGAGAATGGCCATACCCTTTCGTTCGTTAACATAAAAAGCCCAGGCTAAGACAAATAGCTTCCTTTTTTCCCTGGGAATAATGGGGGTGGGTATTTTTCTAGTCCACATCTTCATGGAAAAAAATTGATTTAGTTTATATGCGGAATATATCCATTTTGAAAAATGTATAAATGCAAAATACTTACCCACTTAGCAACTGGACACCCATTAGAGCTCTTTCCTTCTTTCCCCGTGTACACTACTATTTCTATCCTTATTGCGTTTCCTTTTTGACCATACCTGAGTATGAAACACAGTGAAGGGAAAATAATTGCAATACACTTTTAACATCTTCATGTGCATAAGATATAGATTTACAGAAGTACAAAATTCAAACACTCATAATTATAACTTTGTTAAAAATTTACTTTCGTGTGGCAGGTATTTTTATTTGTTATCCAGTTCTGTTTACTTGTCCTTAAGGATCACTCTTTTAAAAAATGGCCTGGCTCCAAGACAAGCAAAAGGAATGTGAATGCAGTGTTGACAGAGGTAATTTTAACTATTTCTACCATTATACAATAATAAAAATAAGTATGTCTGCATTTAACAAAGATAGCCTTGCTTTGTGAAGGTCTTATTGAGTGCCCAATGGCTCGTGTGAGTGACTCAGCAGGGACACCAGGACTCTATGCTTTTCCTGGGCCCTAAGAAACATCAAACTCATGCTCCTGGAAGTTTTCCATTCACCTCAAGTTTGTTCCCAGAGATGATTTCTCTGCATTGAGTCAGATCCCCAATAATGAATGATTTTAACAGGGAAGCATATTTCCTCACCTATTCTCCATGATTTCCCTGACAGCAGCAACACTTGGTCCTGCCCCAAGGTGTGTATAATATGGGCCTTTGTCTTTTTGTATAACTCGATCTGTGGAAGGAATAAGATTATTAGACCCAAAACTTTACAGAATTGCATAGGGGCAAGGAAGAGCTTTTTTTTTTTTTTTTTTTTTTTTTTCAATTCAGAACAATGAACCTTGACAAGATTTTGGTAAGCTTTAGTAATTAAAGTCTAGGACAATAGGCCCTGGAATTTAACGTATCCCTTTCTTTCTGCTCCTAATTAGTCCACTCTTTCTCTAAGAATCAGAGGAGGAAAAACATACTTTAACTTGTGGTTCATATTTATTCTCAGATCTCCTGCTTTAAAAAAATTCTATAAAAATTGAGGTACAAAATTAAGCTACCCAAGAGCAATACATCTTAAAAGCTTGGCTTCAGAATCCTATTAAAATTGAGCCCGACAATTGCACTGCTAGGATTTTATTCTATCACACATGCACACAATTATGTATTTATAATACACATGTATACAAGAATATTCCTTGTTACAATTGTACATAATATTAAAAAAGAGAAACACTCTTAACATCTTTCAATGAGGTAATAGTTAAATAGTATGTTTTAAAAGCCTTAAATTTTGTAAAACTGGAAACAAAATTAAAATCACTAATAATATTAATTTATATAGAAAAAATATAACAGCCGTTTTTCTCTAGAAAAAGACATTTACACCATATTTCTGTACCATTTGAATTTTTGTGTAAATTACATAGTTCTTAGAAAATGGTATTTTAAAACTTGGCCTCTGAGATTCATGTCTAACTAGAATCACTGGGAAATGCATGTCTACCTACACCAAAAGATCATTACTTACCATTTTAATTGGACATCAGATATAACATAGGATTATTTCTGGGGCTACTTAAGCAAGATACGGTGAATAATTTTTAACTTATTGGTAATCTAGAGCAGTGGTTTTTAATCAGGGGTATTTTTGCCAAAGGGGACATTTGGCAATATTTTGGGTTGTGACAACTGCAAATGCGCACCCGTGTGTGTGTGTGTGTGTGTGTGTGTGTGTGTGTGTATCACTAGCGAGTAGAGGCTAGGGATGCCACTAAACAGCCTACAATAGATAAGGTGGTCCCCCTACAACAAAGAATTATCCACCTAAAATGCCAATAGTGCTAAATTTGAGGAACCTTGATCTAAAGGTTAATTACTCTAATTTTGCTAGAACATAATAACACTTTCACAGAAATCCTTTACCCTCAGGTATGATTGGGATCCTTTACCCTCACTTTGGATGATTTCTGAAGTCTACTTTTTTGTTTCTCTTTTTAAGTTCCGATTTCTACACAATGAGCACAAAAACTTCAAATGTAACAATTATAGGAAAACATGCAACTGACAAGGGTATTCAACAGTTCCAGGTCCACTGCAGATACTGAATAAACTTTGAATGCCTGGCTGTCTTGAATCTGACACTGCGTTAAGGTAGTATGTATAAGGAAAGGGTCTTGAAACTAGACAATCATCCTATTGAAATTTATGTATGCAGTCAAATTAGACGAGCTCAGGTATATAAATCTTACTGGCATTTTAAATTAAAGGCCTTTTTTCCATTTTTAATGATATTCAGAGAAATAGTCTCTTTTTCACTTCAGATTTTTGAAGCAACATAGAATGGAAGTTACAAATACAGCCGCTGGAGCTGGGACTGCCTGTCTTAGAATTCCAGTTTAATCATTTACTAGCTGTGAACTTCTCTGACTCAGTCTCCTTACTTGTAAAACGGGGATAATAAGCATTCCCTTTGGTGGGTTCGTGTGAATATAACAAGTTAAGGGTGTAGGACAGTTATCAGACTTGCAGTAAAAGACCTGGAATAGGAGCCATTATCATTATTACAATCTTCTGTCCTTGGTCCAAGAATCTCTCATTCTGCCAAATTGACCCCACTCAGACAGCATTGCCACCCCTTCCAGATTGTCAGATCCTCCTCCTTGGAGGCTCTTCATTCTCAGAGGAGCCTATCTTTGGTGCCTGGTATGTGGTAAGCTGTCAAAACTGAGTGTTGAATGATGAGCAGAGAAATGGAAGGATTCATTTCAGAATATCAAATGCACTTTGAAAAATCAAGAACTAAAAGTCATTGCTACACTTCACTATTTTTTCTATTGTGGTTAAAAAAATATCAGAATGATATACTTACTTTATCCTTCCCATCAATCCTTTAACCACCCATTCTGGAATATACTAATGAACCATCTGCTTCTTGATTGGGTTAGCAATTACAGAGATACTTTTTTTTATAGTTATTTGTTAAGTTGTACGTATATTTTATGTTCTCTGTATGCATGCTATACTGCACAATTTAAAAAATATATATTTTTAAACAAAAGACTTAAAGGTTGAAATTCTTTTGAATATAGGAAGAATAAACTGTGATAACGTATTAAGGGACTTCATTCTTATGATATGCACAGTAAACAACTTGAGAGACATCTAGCTTGAGAGAAATCAAATTTTCCACTTAAGAAAGTTTCCAAATTACCAGTTGGATTTCCCCATTTATCTGAGCAGCATAAATAAAGGTCCCACAGAAAAATGGGTATAGAATTATTTAGTCCATCCTAGCTAGAATATGAATGAGGCAAAAATGTCATATATAAAATGTAAAACAAACTTGATTCAGTCACAACTTGAGGCCATTAATGCAAGATAATGAAGAAACTTACCAAGACAGTTGCAGGTAGGCAATTCAGAATCTTTTGTTGTGGACACCAGGGTTTTCGTAGGATTAGTAAAGAAGTTCATCGCATAATCATTAAAACTTTTCTGTGCACTGTCTATTGGGGAAAATTCTGATGCTCCAGCACTAGATGAACAGACGTCCTCTTCGCTTTTGGTAGAAACCACTGTAATTCCACCTGAACATACTACATTTAGGTTCCTGAGAATTTGTGCTGGGTCCGGTAAAGGGGTCTCATGAGAGATACCAGGCAATGTTGGCAGCCTCTGATGTGTGACTTCGTCTTTAACATCCTGTTGGAACTGTGTTTGGTCATTGCCAGCCATCACATTAGCACACTGGTTAGTTGGAGAGGATGGCTGGAGTAAAGGATGAGCTTTCTGATTGACATTCACTGTTGGCTGTACCTGAGCATATCCATTTTCTGTAAACGCCTGTCCATTGGATTCTGTTTTTAACTGGATTACGGGGAGAGAATCCAAGGGTTCAACCTTCATCTTCTCCTGTGCTAATTCAGGATAATACCGCTCAAATTTTATTTGAGTGAGTGGAGGAAATAATTTTTTGTGTTCTAATGCTGAGCTCCTTTGAGTCAGTGGTTTCCATACTTTGGTTAGGGGAGGAATTTTTCCCAATAGAATAGGAAAGTCATGTGGACCAAATTGACCAAATCTTTGAAATTTAGATGCTATCCAAATGTCATGTAACTTACTATATTCATATGCCAACTGTTCCTGTTTTTTCTGGTCATTTTCTTGACAACTTATGATCACAGGCTTCTTTTTCCGTCGGTCTCTTGATGGGATAGATTTTGTCTTTTTCTGGATTGTGTTCTTTTGCTTTGTTACTGAAGGTCCTTGATTATTTTGTACACTGGAAGGTGGTTTATGCTCTATTGTGCCCTTCTCCTGGCTATAGTTTTGCTGTACATTATATGCAACAAGGCTTGTTGGTGTACTTTCAACTTTTTTGTCCTCTGGTTTTATACAATTGAATTTAATTATTGATGCAAGTTGTGCTAACTGTGCAGCAACATCTTCTTCTATTTTACTATGAACTGTATCTTGACATGAGGGATCATCCTTTGAGTCCAACTTGATGCTGCTGTCCAGTGACTGGTTACAATACTCCGATTTATTAGTTGTTGTTGTCAACTGATGCAAATTTTTGGAACTGTCAAGAGCAATTCGGCCTTGAGCAACATTTTTATTGGTATCGGTTTTAGATGAATTTGATTTTGGTATAAAAACAGATACTGAATTTGTGACTGTTGAATATTCCTGTGCCTTTGTGGATGCTTGGTCACTAGGTGAGCTGCTGTGTGACTTAGAAATATTTTGGCCATTGAACATCAATGTGTTGCATGAACTTTGCTTTCCCAGAGATGGACAGTGATGAAGGCTTTGTGGCCCCCCTTGTAAATTTGGGTCTTGGAGGTCTTTTCTTACAGAATACAGGATAGCTTTACAGCTGTTAAGCAAACTAGCTGTTCTCTGTTCTGTCTCTTCATCCTTCTCTGACTTCGATGGTGAGGAATTTTCTGATGGGGCTTCTGAAAGTTGTGTTAGAGCTTCTATGGCCACTACTTGTTCTAGCGTTAATCTCCTATCTTTCATTAGGGATAGAAGACTTGGTTGAAGTGTTGATCCTTCTTTTAGTTCTCTATTTGTTATAATTTCTAGGGATTTTGGTTGATCACTTTCATTGTGTATACTAGTATGACTATTTAAGTTGCAGTTTGCAGGATCTGGAAAAGACTTACAATTAAAGCCAGGCTTCTGAATCACCAAAACATTACTTCTCCCCTTGAGATGATCACAGCTCGCACTAGTAGCAATGGCGCTCATGGCATTGTTATGGTTTGCAGTGTCTTTCAGGAATTTATAAGGATTGTTTTCAAATGCCTTGCCAAGTTCTTCAATGTTGATTTTTTTAAAAGACAAATTTGTTTCTGTTGGCAAATAGTGTACATTTTTAATGCCGTTTCTTACAGTTTGTGCAAACAATTTTTGAGGTTCAAGGAGGTCAGTAAGTAGGATTTTTTTCCTGTCATCTTCAGAGCTTTTCAAATTTTCAGCTTCTGTTTTAATTGTATTAAATTCTCCTTTAACATGATCAGTTAAGTGTGATTTCTTGTTTTGTGTCCACTTTTCCACTTCAATACCTGTCATACTTTCTTCATTTTTAGTTACATTTTCTAAGGGACATGAACTCAATTCCAATCTTTGTTCTTCCTCATGACCACAACTACTGTATTCCATGGATTCTGACTTGGGGCCATTTACTGGTTTGTTGTCAAAATCTGCCTATAAAATAAACAGAGAAATTACTCTTATAATCTGCTCAAATATCTGAGTAAGAGCTGTAAGAGCTTTCCAATTTAAAAGCAACTAAATGTGAAGTCCCTGAAAACATTTTATTTTCACTTTTTACATTTTTAGAAGTTATAAAATACCAAAAAGCGGAAAGAAAAAAAAGAGAGGTGGAAACCATCATATTCCCATGACGGTTAATATTTTGGTATATTCATTTTTTTCCAAAATAAAATTTTAAAATATTTTTACATTGATGCCATTCAATGAACAATACTTATTATTTCAATGCAAATTATACTGAAGTAGAACACACACACACAAAAACATATAAATCATAAATATATAGCTTGTTGAATCTTCACAGAATGAACACCTATATACCCAGATCCCAACCAAGAAACTTACATCTAATAAATAATAAGGTCCTACTGTATACCACAGAGAACTATATTCAATATTCTATGATAATCTATAAAGGAAAAGAATATATAAAAAAATGTGTATATATATGTATAACTGAACTACTTTGCTGTACAGCAATAATTAATACAACATTGTAAATCAACTATACTTCAATAAAAAAATAAAAATAACAAAAAGAATTTTTTTAATTTAAAAAAACACATCTAGTCATCACTCTACTGTCAAAGGGTAGCTACTGCTATCACATCTATCATAGATTTCTTTGGCTTATTTCCCAACTTTATACAGCTGACTTCCTTTTACTCAAAATTATATTTCTGAGAGTCATCCATGTTGTAAAGTTTAACTGTAATCCATTCATTCTTACTGCTATACAGTAATTCACTGACTGAATATACTACAATGTATATCTCCATTCTACTGTAGATGGACATTTAGTTTTAGTTTTTGGCTATAACAAAGAACACTGCTATAACACATTACTGTTATATTTTGGTGAACTTGTACATACATTGCGTGGAGTGGAAGTGCTCGGTCATTCAGTGTGTGTATATATGCGTGTAGTTTAGGAGATAGGCCAAATCATTTTCTACAGTGGTTGTCAATACACACTCCCACCAGAAATTATGAGTTTCAATTTTTATTAACAATTAGCTCACATTCTTATTAACAATTAGTATTTTCTATCTTTACACATCAGCCATTCTGGAGAGTGGGGTAGTGACACCCCTTTTCAAAAAATTTTTTGAGATGAAGTTCCCATGAAATAAAATTCATCATTTTACCATTTGAAATTGTGTAATTCTGATTTTATTCACACTATTGTGCAACAATCACCTCTAATTCCAGAACATTTTCATCACCCCTAATAGAAACACTGTACCCATTAAGGAATCATTATTCCCCCCTATAATCCCTATTTTTTTAAACCTTGAAATAGCTCATCCAAAATTATACCACAGGGCTTCCCTGGTGGCGCAGTGGTTGAGAGTCTGCCTGCCGATTCAGGGGACACGGGTTCGTGCCCCGGTCCGGGAGGATCCCACATGCCGCAGAGCGGCTGGGCCCGTGAGCCATGGCCGCTGAGCCTGCGCGTCCAGAGCCTGTGCTCCGCAGCGGGAGAGGCCACAACAGTGAGAGGCCCGCATACCGCAAAAACAAACAAACAAACAAACAAAATTATATACCACAGGAGGAGACAATAGGGGACATTTTGGTCAAGAGCAAATAGAAAATAACCTCTATAATATTTAACGTGGCTCTGGATGTTCTAGTTAATGCCTTGAAGACAGTAAAATCTAAATATAAAAAATTAGGAGACTTCTTACTGAATGATGATTATATAGCTGACTCCAAAGAAAAAACAGAAGTATCGACTAAAAAAAAGAATCAGGGGCTTCCCTGGTGGCGCAGTGGTTGAGAGTCCGCCTGCCGATGCAGGGGACACGGGTTCGTGCCCCGGTCCGGGAAGATCCCACATGCCGCGGAGCAGCTAGGCCCGTGAGCCATGGCCGCTGAGCCTGTGCATCCGGAGCCTGTGCTCTGCAACGGGAGAGGCCACAACAGTGAGAGGCCTGCGTACCGCAAAAAATAAATAAATAAAAGAATGAGAGTTCAGAAGGGCCATATCTAATTTCTTTCTGTTTTTTAACTATGGTTTTTTAAAAAAGATTTATTTTTTATTTATTTATTTTTATTTTTGTCTGCATCGGGTCTTAGCTGTGGCACGCGGGATATTTGCCGAGGCACGCAGGATCTTTCGATGCGGCGCTGGGGCTCTTCGTTGTGGTGCACGGGCTTCTCTCTAGCTGTGGCGTGGGGGTTTTCTCTTTTCTAGTTGTGGCACACACACTCCAGAGTGCGCTAGCTCAGTAGTTGCAGCATGCAGGCTTAGTTGCCCCGCAGCATGTGTGATCTTAGTTCCCTCACCAAGGATCAAACCCACGTCCCTGCCTTGTAAGGCGCGTTACCATTAGACCACCAGGGAAGTCCCCTAATTTCTTAATCAGGGTATAGGTTACATAGGCTATGTTCAGTTTGTCAAAAGTCATCAAAATATACAATTATCATATATACATTTTTCTATATTATATTTAAATAACAACTTTGTAAAACTAAATGAAATAGCCGATTTTTTTTTAAAAAGACAGCAATATTATAATATTTTTAATATTAAAAGGAATAATAAGTTTAACATGCAGGGTAGATAAACAAATTAACAGACTAAATTTAAAAATATTTTAATAATTTATTATTAAAACGCTGGCATTTGTAAGCAGTAGAGAAAGTATTAATTTCTTAATGATGAGGGAAGTTTGATTCCTATCTCATAATATGCAACAAAAATTCCAGATACATTAATAATGTAAATATAAAAAGATATAAGAATAAGAAAATTTAGAAAGTAGGAAAAATCTTCCAAAGCAAGAGCAAAATGTGATAAGCCATAGAAGAAAAGATAGAATTCTTTGACTACATATGATATTAACAATCTCAAAGGCAGACACTACAATATGCTTTTCAAATTGCTGATCACAACCTGAGTCCCAACACCAATATCATGCTTTGTGACAAGTGTCTTTTAATGGAATATTAAAGAAAAATGTGTACACTACATTTAGTAAAGATAAGTATTATCATAATTTTTTTTTTCTTTTTTTTGCGGTACACGGACCTCTCTCACAGTTGTGGCCTCTCCCTTTGCAGAGCACAGGCTCCGGACGCGCAGGCTAAGTGGCCATGGCTCATGGGCCTAGAAGCTCCGCGGCATGTGGGATCTTCTCGGACGGGGGCACAAACCCGTGTCCCGTGCATCGGCAGGCGGACTCTCAACCACTGCGCCACCAGGGAAACCCTATCATATAAATTTTTATGTATGTGTTTGTGCATTGAATCGTGATGTAAAATGTATTTATTTCCTGATATGCGTAGCTACTTATAAAGGTAGGAGAAATATTGCCAAAAATAAATTGAAAAGTCAAGTGACAGACTAGGAAAATATTCGCAATACATATAAAGAGTTACCATTCTTAATGAAAAAGAGCTCCAACAAATTAAGAAGGAAAATGACTCAATAGAATAGTGAGGAAAGAATAGGCATATGCAATTCACTTAGGTGGAAATCAAAAGGATCAAAAGCTGTCCAACTTTACTAGAAGACAAGCAAATGAAAATAAATGTCACGTTCTCATCCATCCAAATTGCAAAACTAAAAAAGTAGAAATGTATGTAAGCAAATCATAATAGAACATAACATTTACAGTAGAGAAAGTATGAAATAAACTCATATAATCATATTGTGAAAAATGTGCAGCCATTACTCTATGTATCAATATTCTTAGTATATCATTAACCAAAATAAGATGCACATGTGACATTATCATCCCTTTTTATTTAAAACACACAAACACTGGGAATTCCCTGGTGGTCCAGTGGTTAGTACTCAGCACTTTCACTCCTGTGGTCGGGGTTTGATCCCTGCTCTGGGAACTAACATCCCATAAGCCTTGCAGCACAGCCAAACACACACACACACACACACACACACACACACACACACACACACACACACACAAATTGGTCTAAGCACAGAAAAAAAGCTGGTAGTATAAACCTAAAATGTTAATAATAGTTACCACTGTGAAATAGAATTAAAGGGGAATATTTTTTTTTTACTTGAAGCTTTTAATTTTTTTTTTTTTTTTGCAGTACGCAGGCCTCTCACTGTTGTGGCCTCTCCCGTTGCGGAGCACAGGCTCCAGACGCGCAGGCTCAGTGGCCATGGCTCATGGGCCCAGCCACTCCATGGCTTGTGGGATCCTCTCGGATTGGGGCTCGAACCTGTGTCCCCTGCATCAGCAGGCGGACTCTCAACCACTGTGCCACCAGGGAAGCCCGAAGCTTTTAATTTTATAGGTATGCATATCCAAACACACTGGACTATACATTCCCCTACAGAGATGATCTTGAGGTCCTTTTAAAATTTATGTACTAAAAGCATAAGACAGTCTCATTAATTAATGAGCTTAATTAAAAAGCAACTGACCAGCACAGAAAACAAACTTATGGTTACCAAAGGGGAAAGGCGGGGAGGGAAAAATTAGGAATTCAGGATTAAAGGATACACATTACTATATATAAAATAGATAAACAACAAGGACCTACTGTATAGCACAGGGAACTATATTCAATATCTTGTAATAACCTATAATGGAAAAGAATCTGAAAAAGAATATGTATATAAATATGTATAACTGAACCACTTTGCTGGACACCTGTAACTAACAAATTGTAAATCAGCTAAACTTCAATTTTTAAAAATGTGCTTCCAACCTAAATGTCCATCAACAGATGAATGAATAAAGAAGATGTGGCACATATATACAATGGAATACCACTCAGCTATAAAAAGGAACGAAAGTGAGTTATTTGTAATGAGGTGGATGGACCTAGAGTCTGTCATACAGAGTGAAGTAAGTCAGAAAAAGAAAGAAAAATACTGTATGCTAACGCACATATATGGAATCTAAAAAAAACAGTACTGATGAACCTAGTGGCAGGGCAGGAAT